CAAATATAATAAATCTGGTAGATCGGTCAAATATGACCAATATGTCATATTTGTCAGATTTGTCCAATTTGTCATATTGGTCAGATCGGCCAAACATTTCAAATCACATGATTGGTTGTAGTTGATCAGCGTAGCATAGATCACGCCTTCACTGCTAAGAATTTATAGAGATATTTAATCATATGATATTTAACTATTAAAATTTACTAACCTTACCAATTTTCATTTTTCCATATTTCAAATATGAATCTTCAGATAGCCTTTTCAGTTTTTTGTCATTATCATAATCATTTTCATCAGATTGTTTGGATATTAATGCATTAAGCAATGCAACAACTTCCTGTATGTTTAGACGTATATTTGGTTCTTTATTCCAACATTCTAATCATTTGTAAATAAAATTAATGAAATTTATATATACGTTTAAAAATCGCTGTATCCATTTGACCTTACTTTTGTATACTAGCAAATACTGTTAAAAGCATTCATGATCATGACATTATTCATGGTGATCTGGTAATGTTTTATTACATTTGTAAGCTTATAATTATTTAACGCTTATTTAATTTTATTTTTACTGCAGCATGCAAATATCATACTGGTACATCAAAAAAGTATTAGATTAGCAGATTTTGGATTATCAAAAAAAATTCCAATGCTACGATAAAGTGGAATCCTTATATGGATCAAAACCTTTTAGTTAATCGAAATTATAAAAATCAAAAAGCAGATGTTTATAGCATTGGAGTGCTTATGTGGCAAATTTCAAGTGGACGTTCACCATCTGAAGCAACTTATGATGGGATTTATAGTATAATCGACGGCAAAAGAGAAGAAATTGTTAATGGAACTCCTATAGAATATAGCAATCTATATGATTTGCTAATCGAAATTTGTCATTCCAATCAAGACTCTTAAAATTCTTATGTAAATAAGTGCCTAATGAATTGCTATCAGCATATTCCAAGACTAGCAAGTATTGATTCATTTGATGAACTACATCTGAAACATAATTTTATAAATTAAAATTCATGTTATTTGCAATGACATGATAAGTATTTTTGTTTAATTCTTACCAAATTCAATCCTTGTTATTCCATAAAATCGTAAAATGTTTGGATGATAATTAAACTTTTGATGTAATTTTATCTGTAAAAGCATAATCCAAATTAAATTAATTTCAAGTTTATTAATTTAATATTTTTATATTCCATTACCCATTGACAATCTCTTTAAGGGGCAATTCATAATTATCAAATGATTTTAAATAAACGATGACACCAGTATCTTTCCAATTAGCACGAGAAAAGTTTCCAAAATTAACACTTTTATTTGGTTGTATATTTTTGAATTCCGAATAATTATAATAATTTAAATATTCATCAGTAATAGATTTTCTAACCAAACGATGTATTCCTTAATATCGTCTTCCATTTTACATTTAGAAAAGGTTATTATTATACTTATTTTATTGACTTCATTTTATTTACTCCATTGATCGACAAAAGAGAGAAAGATTTTCCTATTGTGTAATCATTTTAATCATTGATCACTCAGCCGACATTGAATTTAACCCCATAAAATTCCTCTTGATTTATTTTTTTCTAAAGTTAGGTTTGACTATTAATTATAAAAATGGAATTAAACTTTGGAATTTTTTTAATAATGATATAGATATAATCGTCCAAATTGATGACTCGCCGTCACAAATACCTACAACAATCAAATTAAACTGAAAGGATACTTTATTAAAAGTTTGTGGAATACTTGAACAAAAAAAAAGAAATGAACGATTATCATTTGCGCAAAAAAAAAATGTCTTGGCTAAAATACTAAGTGATGATGAAAATTTGAAGATTTTAAATGATATTATAGATGATAATAATATCCTATACTTGGTGAAAAATTCAAAACCAGATTGGAAATTTTTAAACGAATTGCGAAAATTAGATTCAGGACGTACTATTAATTTCGATGGAATCAAAATAGCTCATAAGAGAGCATTTAAAATGAAGGGTTGTAACGTTACTAAAATTGGAGCTGAAGGATATAGAAAAGGAAAAATTGAATTTAACTCAAATGAAGATTATATTATGTGATGAAAATAAATTTATTTTTTAAGTGCAATATTAATATGGAAATTTAGTAAAGTTTGGAGTATCAGCTGGAAAATTACAAAATAAAAATTATAAATTTGGTGCCAATTCATTTTATCGATACACAGAATATGGTAAAATTTCTTTAAAATTCAACGAATATTTAGAACCAACTGCAGATTTTATTAATGTAGCAGAATATGCTATAGAATCTAGAAACTGGAAAATTTTAAGCAAATAACTGAAGAATATGGTCAATTCATTCCAATTGAAGTTATTTTGGACAGAAGAGTTTACTATGAGAGGCATAAGGTTTTAAAGGAATATTCTGAAGTAAAGGCTAACGAAGGTTCTACAAATATAAGTGGTGGACCAATAGAGAACAGAATAGGAATTGATTCCACAATTTCAAAAGGAAAATCTAATTCTTATCAACATTAGTGCGTGAAATTAATTGGAAGGCAACAACCTGATAACCTTAAAAATTTTGATGAAAAAGCTTGGATTTTATCTTTAAAAGATTTTAGAAATTGGGATTGCATAGAATTTAAAAATCCAATTGGCATTTTTCAACTTTTAAATAAAACGTTATATAAGCAAGTAATAACATCTTTAGGAAAAATAATTCATTATTCAATAATTGAGAATTGTACTTGTAAATTTGAGAAATTAGGAGTGCCGAAAATATTTGAATTACGTGAAATACCGCCACATATTTCAAAATAAAAATGCTGATTGTAACCTTTTTGCAACAGTTATCAATGTAGAAGAGGAGAAAGATGATGCTTTTGACTGTTAAATACTTTATTGGCCGAAAGGAAAACTAAGCCTTATAATTCATCGCATTCAAAAAAACTTTAAAGAAAGAAAATGCAAATTGAAAATTGGATGGATGGTTATTGGCTATGATACCAATTTAGATTTTTTACTTACAGATTTCAATGTTCAACTAAAAATTATCGAAAATGATTTTAACCCATCATCTAATACAAAGTTCAAGTATTATAGAGAATTATTAAATATTGATCGTAATTTATTAGACAGAAACGCTTCTTGTATTGGTATTCTTATGCTTAAGACATTGGATTCTTCAAATAATTCACTTATTATCGGACAATAATTTTTTGATATTCAGGAAGAAAGTAAAGTCGGATCATACACATTTTGTTATAGTTTGAAGAAAAATCATTACGTCGATGTTACCCAATTTTACTTTTCATACACTAATTATTTCAAATTATTCTGATTCTGATGCCTATGGCATATTCCCTTTCAAACAAAGTAGTAAGAAGAAAAAAGTGTTTAATAAGATTGCTAAACTTATTCAACCTATTCCTTCAATTAAATTAAAACCAAAATACGTTAGTTTGTTTTTCACAGCAGAAAATAATTGTGGTTTAATTTTTTTGAGGCAAGAACCTAATAAAATAGAATATAAACCAATTCTTTATGATAGTTGTGACTAGCATTCTTGTATTTGTATAAATATCACAACCACGAAAAATCATTTGAAATATACATTTTTTGATCCAAAGCAAGGTAATTCTTTCTATTCAAATATTAAATCATTTAATATGATACTAAGCAAATGATTTATTATTTTTTAGATAATGAAAGTGAAACAGGCATCAGTAAAGTGTCAAAATCAATTTTTAATTAATACTTCAGAAAATGATATCACTTTTTTTGAACTTATTATCATATTTTCAAAAACTTTTATTTCATGTTTAATATATTTTATTTACACAAATGTATATTTATTTTAGATTATTATATATAAAAATTATAATTTAAAATGTGTTTCTTTTATTAATGAAAACTAAATATTAAGCTTAAGCTTGAAAATCTCTATAATTAATTGATTACAGTCAAAAATATAACCTAATAAAAGCTAGAGGTTTGATTTTTGAAATCATTTTTGAAATTTTTTAAAAATCCGTATTTGTTAATTTGGTTGCAAACAATAAATGGTTGATGACTGAATTAAATTCGGTTACAACTGGTTCAAATTTCTTTTTTCATCGGTTTTCATCATTTTTTGAAAAATTATTTCTAGCATATCACCATCTAACTCTTAAAAATATTATCATCTGAATAATGGTTTCCAATAAATCTTTGATCGATATTTTTGTGCGAAATATATTATTTTGCATCTTTATTACAATTTGCAAGCTTTAATCAAAAATGGAAATTTCTATTTAGGTTTTATTAATTAAACAGATTGCATTCGATTAAATCTATAGCCTGTTTGCTTGCTCTAAAATATTTCCTTGGAGTAATATTTCATTGCTTTGAGGTAGAAAATTATATTATTTTAAAGAAGATTGAATAGTTGTATTTGCATTCTTCATAATAACAGATTTTAAGATGATCAGGTTTTACTTTTTCAATTTACATGTGATTTGGGACCTTTGCAATAGAAAGGGGGAAACTGCCGAAAAAATCAAAAATGAGTTCAGCCTAAAAATCATATTTGGCATATAAAAATAAAATTAATTTTTCACAGCAGTTTACCCCCTTTTATTGCAAAAGTTCCAATTTACAAATCGATTAAGATTTCCTTCCTAAAAAGCCTAATGTAAGTTTTTACACAATCTGCATTATCTTTTTGAAAGAATTATTAATGATTATTATTTTATTTTAATATTAATGAATTTTATTAAAAATCTAGTTATATACTTACTCAATACATATTTTATAAAAATGTATGTAAAATTTTTATATTTACATTTAATGTTTCTGAAGCTAATAATGTTTGCATTAATTGATTTATCAATTTGAATTAGAATGTATTATTATATAAACCATATTTCTTTTCTACTTTAATTTATTCTTCAATACCTATAAAAAAGAATCATTTGACAAATATGCCAAATTTATCAGATTTTATATGATATTCATGCATTATTTCAATTATTAATTAACCGGATTTTTAAATATATAATTTTTTTTTTATTAAATTTCAATTATTTAAATATTATTTAAAAATCATTTAAAAAAAACATGCAAAAAAATTTTCAAATAAAAGTATTATACAAAATGATTAATAATATAATTTATTATATTAAAATAATAAAAAAAATATATTAAAATATTATATTTTTTTGTTATTATTGTGAAATGAAATTATAAATTCAAATAATATGATTTTAATATATAATAAAAAAATTTTAGAATTATTAAATTATATCAAAATTATATCAGCAATTAATTATTTTAACAAAGTATATATTAGACATATTTGGAAGTTTATAAGTGAGTTTATATACACTGGCCTACAATAAATATTCAAATTTTTTTTTATATATGAAATTTATATGTAAAAATTCACAATTTTATGTACATACAAAAGATTTTTTTGTACTTATTAATTGATAATTTTATTATATTAAAATATAAAATATAAAGTAATTGTACAAAAAATATTATCACGAAAAAATTAATATTTAGTATGACTAAAGATGGGAACTGTAATTAATATGTTATAACTTTTAATGTTGCAACTTACGTTGCAATTAGTTTTAACATATATATGTTGCAACTTATAATGTTGTAACATATGTTGCAACTAATTTTAGCTTATGTTGCAACATTTAAATTTGAAATTAATTGCTGTACCATCTTTAAGTATGATCACCTTTGACCTTAATTACCGCTTTAACCCAATTAGACATACTTAAAATTAGGCAATGACATGTTTCAATAGTGATTTTTTGGTACTCATCTTGTATTACCTCAATTAACTCCTGTTTAGACCTGAATACAAGCTTCCTTTTTCAAATTTGACTATCCAAATTATTCTACAGATTCTTGATCAGGTTAAGATCGGGATTTTGCGCTACCCAATCTAAAATTAAAATGTTATGTGTTCTCATCCACCAAATACTGTAAGTTGAAGTATGACATGACGCTTCTTCTTGCTGAAAAATAGAGTTGGAGTAATTGTCAACCCATAAAATGAACCAATTTGCCAGAATATTAACGTATTTGTCAGAATTCATATTCCCTTTCACCACAACTAAAGGTCTAACCCATGCCAACCAAAACACCCCCAAAACATTACTGATCTTCTTTCAAACTTAACTGTAGATTGAATACAATCTTTATTATATGCTTCTTCAAAACTTCTCCATACTCTTGCTCGACCATATGATTGAAAAAGAGTAAACCTTGACTCGTTTGACCATACCACTTGTTTCTATTCCTCCACACAATTTTTTTTCTTTGCATCATTTTAAGCGATTAGTTCGATGTTTTTTATTTAAATAAGGCTTATTTTTTGTAGTATAACTTCTGAGACCTTCATTATGAAGGTAACTTCTAACTGTATTAGAGTGTAAAGTTATATTAAAGCAGATATTAAACTTGTCTATAACATCACCTAGAGGAGATAACCTGTCAGTTCGTATGATACGTTTTAAAGCTCAGGTATTACGTTCTTTGAGTTTTTTTGGTCTTCCAGAATGTTGCTTAGGTTTGGTAGAACCTGTTTCTCTATACTTTTTTATAATATCACTTACAGTACTAGTTGGTATATTAAGTTGAGTAGAAATGACTGTTTGTTTAGTACTAGTAAGATATGCACTGATAATTCGTTGCCAGTTGGCTTTTGAAATCTCATTTCCATGCATTGAGAATTAGAAGAGGAGTGAAAAATAATATTTTTGTTATCTCCTTTATTTATATGTACGATAGGCAGAAATCGCCAATTGTATCACAGTGATGCAATTTCATATGATAAAAATCCGAATATTTATTGTAGACCAGTGTATTAGAACTTTGCAGTAGAAAGGGGGAAACTCTAAAAAAAATTTTTTTAAAATAAGTTTAAATCTGAACTTATTTAACTTAATTTTTTTAGAGTTTCCTTTCTTTTTACTATAAAGCTTCCATATTTTTGTCAAATTATTAATGAATTTTTGTTAATAATTAATATATTCTTGTTAATTTATTAATGAATTTTCATTAACAATTGCTATATTTTCATTAATATTTGACATTTATTTATCAATTAGTTAATAAAAATTTGTTAATAATTGACATATTTTTGTCAATTCATTAATGAATATTCAGCATATTTTCATTAAATCATTAACAAATTCATTAATAATTTGACATATTTTTATCAAATAATTAACAAATTTTCATTATTAATTGACATAATTTTATCAAATAGTTAACAAATTTTCATTATCGTTTTACATATTTTTATTAAATTTTTGTTAACGTTTGATGAATATTAATTAATAATTAACATATTTCGTTAATTCATTAACTAATTTTGTTAATAAATTAACATATTTCTTCAATTAATTAACAAATTTTTGATAATGTTTGACATATGGGAGGCCAGTATTCAGAAATAACCTGATCATTTGACCATTTAAATGATTTGTCTATATCTTTATCATAATCATAAATCATTTAGCATTTGTCATTTCGCAAATAATCTAAATGACAAATGATAAATGATCAAGATCATTTAAGATCATTTAAATCATTTGTTATTTAATCATTTGTTTTTACAAAAAATTTAGCGATACTCTTAAAGAATCGCGAATTCTTAGCGAGTTCGCAATTTTATTTTCCAATGATAAAGAATCATTCCAAAGGATGATAGAAAGATCGTTCAGGTAGAACGATAGAGGAATCATTTTAAAGGAATGATTAAAAGCATTATTCCTCAAGAACAATAAAAGATCATTCTAAAGAAATGATACTAAAAAATCGTTCCTTAAGAATAATACTACATCGTTCTATCAAAACGATTAAAAAATTATTCCTTAAGAACAATAAAAGATTGTTCTAAAGATATGATACAAAAAATCATTCCTTAAGAATGATAAAGATCGTTCTAAAGGAACGATACAAAAAATCATTCTAATAGAATGATAAATGATCGTTCTATCAGAACGATAAAAAAATCGTTTCTTAAGAACGATAAAAGGTCGTTCTATCAGAACGATGAAAAAAATCATTCCTTAAGAATGATAAAAGATCGTTTTAAAGGAACGATACAAAAAATTATTCCAATAGGATAATAAAGATCGTTCTAAAGAAATGATACAAAAAATCGTTCCAATAGAATGATAACTCATCATTCTATCGAAACGATATAAA